AGTTCTGCAAAATTTTTAATATTTTAAATGGCAGCCCCCTATAAAACCTTTTTTTACAAAGGTTATGATCTAAGAATTACAACTATCTGTATGTTATTTAATTTTTATCGAAAGAAAATTTTATACAGGTGATTTTTAAAAAATGGTAGGCGCTGTAGAATTTTTATTTATGGCCCGATTTAAAAAAATTAAAAAAATAATTAAATTGTAATTAAATAGTATATAGTATAACTTGCCAATTTTAGAATTTTTCTAAATGTTATAGTATATTTTGGGTTATATTCAAGCTTCTAATTTCAAAGAAAAACTCAAAAATTTTTTTCACAATTTGGAAGATATTAGTTTTCTTTCTACAAACATGTGCAATTTGTTCTACTTTTACTAAAAATTTTTGTTTAAAAAAAGTATCACAGTTCAAAAAAAATCTAGTTGAATGGTATCAATAAACAAATTGCCGTTTATTAATAACAAATAAAATAAATAAATAATAATAAAATGAATTAATAACATTGAATTAAAGTTTTCCGTTTTTTTTGAGTTCTACAAAATTTTTAATATTTTAAATGGTCGCCACTTATAAAACCTTTTTTACAAAAGTTATGATCTAAGAATTACAACTATCTGTATGTTATTTTATCGAAAGAAAATTTTATACAGGGTGATTTTAAAAAGCTACAGGCGGTGTAGAATTTTTATTTATGGCCCAATTTTCGAATTTTCCTAAATGTTATAGTATATTTTGCGTTATATTCAACCTTCTAATTTCAAAGAGAGACTCAATTTTTTTATTTTTTTTTTTTACAATTTGGAAGATATTAGTTTTTTGTTGTAGACATGTGCAATTTGTTCTACTTTTCCTAAATTTTCGTTTAAAAGAAGTATCAAAGTTGAAAAAAATGAAATAAAATCTAGTTGCACAAAATTTGAATTAGATGTTTTTCTCCTTATTATTATTATTGTCATATATCAAAAAGTTGAAAAAAAACTAAAACAAAACAAAATTTTATTCCGAAAACACAATCACATTCTTAAAACACTTTAAATTTTATTAAATTTTCTGAAGGCAATGGTTAAAAAAACGCTTAATTCTTTATTTTGTGTTTATCCTGTATATTTTGTTCAAAGCCAAATAATAAGATTTTTTATTGATGGATCTCAAGACTGTATCGCATAAAATATAAGTGATATTTTTAGTAGTTAACGTACTTATTTTGTATGCTATTTTTGTAATTTGTGAGATGAAATAAAACACTATTGAAATACTTTAAATAAATATTCTTATACTAATGTTTAGTATTTTTACAATCACAGATTTGTTAGTCTTTAGGTACATTATTTTTACTTTTTCCTATACTAATAGCTTCATCTATCGTATCTGGCAACTTAATATTTACAGTCTCTGGAAATAGAAGCGTCAAAAGTCCGGCGATTGTGGCCATCGCTGTGAACATTATGATGGGCAGAGGCTCCCAAATTTGGGCCTGAAATTAAAAAAAAATTAAATAAAATTAGATTTTAAAAAAATTACTTAAATTAAATTAAATTTAAACAAACCCTGTCGGATTCGGAAATGTTAAATTGAAATTATAGGGGGCTCG